CTATAAAATCAGAAAAAACCCATAGAGATGAAGAGAGCGAGAACAATGGATAGCTAAATGGATTTTGGAATAGTGAACTTCTGTTCTCAACCTAAAACTTTTGAAATTCAAGTGCATTGCATAAGCACAAGACGTCAGGCACCTGTTAGAAAACAAACATTTGCACTTAACAGGGGCCTTTTATTATAGTACAGAATGCGTTTTATAACTGATTCTGGATTTATCGATAAAGTAGAATTTATCTCAAAATTTGTAACTTCTGTCTTGCTTTTGTTTGGAGTCTTCCATTAAAATCTTGCGACTGCTTGCAGATGTCACTTACAATAGAACATATGAATTAATGGATGGAGAAGCTATAGTGAAGAAACTTGATGTTATGAAAAGACGATTTGCCAAAGCATCCGCTCACTCTACCTTTCATGCACAGAAATTTACTAACGGCAAAAATGAATCAACGAAGTCATTTTCTCTTACTAGTGGAACAAAAAGCGATGAGACCTCCGCAAAACTATTTGCTACAAATACGACAACTAAAATGCAACCACTTTCCAAAGTGTCGGAGATAACCTCTGGACAGACGAGAATAACAAATTTGACCTCTACAATAAAAGCCATTATTCCCACGTCTGCTGCCACGAGTGGGACAACCAGAATTACTACCAGTACTATTACCTCTTCTGCAACTAAAGGAACGTATCCCACAACCACCAGTTCGGGACCGAAACCGTGGATTACTTCTGCAACAAGTAGGAGAGCAACATCTACCTCATCGCCAAGCAGTACTGTCACAACAACCACATCGCCAAAGACTACTACACTTTCCACAACTACGGTAACTAGTAGTACTGCTAAAACTACTACTTCATCACAAACCCCTTCAACTACAAGTTTGACGACTACGACTACTCCAACTACGACCGAAGAGAGTACTACGACAAGCACGACCACCACGACAACCATACCAACAACCACCAGTACAAGCACATCAACGGAAACCAGTACAACAGAAACATCGACTGTGGAAACATCGACTACGGAAACATCTACTACCCCAACTTCTACTATACCAACCACAACTTCAAAAAGTACCACAAAGACTACAACTACCACAACTACTATCCCTTGGTGGCTAAAAACGACAACAACGCCAACAACTGAAAGGACTTCGAGTACTACTACCAGAAAAATCACGACTACTGAAGTCACTGGCAAAAAGCCAACATATGTGCCCATAACAGCGACAACAAAAAGAACAACAGTAATTTTTGTGAATGTGACAACTTCACCTGCAAACATGTGAGTAACAGTGTAATTGCTCTTTGTTTACTACTGTAGTTCCAACTAGTGAACATAAAGGATGATGAACTAGTAAGTTTTAGAAAACCTCTTTACGTTTGCAACCAATTGCATTCACGTAAGTGAGATAT